GCCATGCTAACTCAGGAACAGTCTGTGACCTGGCTCTGGGTTCTCAATTATTGGAGGCTGCTGAGAACTGACCACCAGGGAGGTGTTAGTTCAGCTCATGACGACTTGGTGCCTTCAGAAGTGCTGGTTCTTACTGGCCTTTGGAGCTACGCGATGCTCTGAACAAATTTTATGATCTGTATCTTGCAAGTGACTTGGCTTAGAGCTAAATTAATTGGGCTCAGCATCTTCGCTCTGATCCTGGTCATATTTTGATGTCTCAGCTGGGTCATCACTGCCTCTGTTTTTTTAATCTTGCAGCAACTTGGCTGCAGCCTCTGCAACTGCTGGCACCAGGACGTGATTCTGGCTGGGAATCCCACTCTGCCGCCTCCATCCCAGTGGATGCAAAAGGTCTGGATTTGGGGTGTTGAGATGGGTTTTGCTGGACATCAGTGAGGTCTATTTTCATTCTCAACGGCCTAAAAGCAGGTGGGATGCTGTGGGCAGGCCCAGCACCACCTCACTGCAGCAGCAGGAGGAGGAATGGAAGCATCAGGTCAAGCTAGGATCGAAATGCTTGTGCAATTTATCAGGAAAAGGGAAATAAGTCAGGAGCAGAGGTACTCCTGGATCAGAACAGAGCAGTTCACACACAGCCCCTCTGCCACAGTGAATGGAGACATGAGATACAGTCAGTGAATCCTGAAATCTCCTGGGATTAAATGATTACATTAATCTTTGCTTTCTCTAAACTGCGGTAACAGCAATAGCCACACGCTGGTGCCAGCCCAGATCCCTCTGCTGACTTCACTGTGCCTGGCTGGGGACTTCACACTCCACAGGCAAGTGGAAATGCAAAGCCCCCCCTGTCCCCATTCTGTCCCTGCTCGCTTTGCCTGCTGCCTCCAGAGACGCTGCAGGGCAGGAGCATTGCTGCAGATGAGGTGTTCTTGGGAAGTCTCCCAGATGGCTGCCCCTTGCTGGAGCACTTTAACACACAGGCACTGTGTGTGTGGTGACCACCCTTGCAACGCAGAGGGTCCCTGGGGCCACCATTTTCCATCCATCCATTTCCAAACTCCCCAACTATTCTTTGCCCCTGTTATGTCATACCTAGCACTTTATTCATGCAGGGAAAGAGCTGATGAAATTCTTTTTTTTTTTTTTTTTTTTTTTTTTAAACCCAGTATCAATGTTTACACAACTGAGCTAAATTATTTATACACATAACGTTACAGGTTTCACATCAGTGGCTTTTATTAGCATTCAGAGGATGAGAAGTCATACCTGACCTACTTGTAGAAACTCCTCTTGTGCCTCTCCATGGTGCAGCGGGTGGTGGGGAAGGGTTGAAGGTGCCTTATGTTAGAAACCTAAAGGGAGCCCACAAACCGGAGGGGAATCAACTCTTTGAAAGGGTAAATAACTGCAGGACAAGGGGAAATGGTTTTAAGTTGAAGGAGGGAAGATTCAGGTTGGATGTCAAGGAGAAGTTCTTTACAGAGAGTGGTGAGGTGCTGGAACAGGCTGCCCAGAGAGGTTGTGGATGCCAGCCCATGGAGGTGTTCAAGGCCAGGTTGGATGGGGCCCTGGGCAGCCTGGTCTGGTATTAAATGGGGAGGTTGGTGGCCCTGCCTGAGGCAGGGGGGTTGGAGATTCATGGTCCTTGAGGTTCCTTCCAACCCTGGGCATTCTGTGATTCTGTGACATGGGGGAGAATGTGTATAGATGCATTGTTTTGCAAAGTCTCATGAGATGGCAGCTACGCCTGTCCATTCAGGAGGACACGGCAGTGGAGTAGGACACCCTACACCCTGCTTGCTTACCAGCAGCCCTGGGGTTGTCCTGGGACCGTGTCCCTGCTCAGGTTGGATGTCAGGAAAAGTTTCTTCTCAGGAAGAGTGATGAGGCATTGGCACAGGAGTCACCATCCCTGGAGGTGTTCAAGGAAAGGGCAGATGTGGCACTGAGGGACGTGGTTAATGGGCATGGTGGGGGTGGGCTGACGGTTGGACTGGATGATCCTAAGGGTCTTTTCCAACCTTATTGATTCTCTGACCCTATGAAGCAGAGCAGTGCTGCCAGCCTGTTGCCAACCTGAGCAGAGCTCGGTTTCCTTGGGGCAGCAGCTGTCCCCCCACCCGCAGTGCCTCCTCTCGAAGGCTGCATCCATCAGGGCCACCATTCTCCAAACAGAGATGGTGCAACGGCGTGTGCTTCCCTGCCAGCCGCTTCTCAACCGACATGTCACAGGCACTTCAGATGCCTTTCTTCTTGTCTTGCAATTAATGCATTTTTTATAAAGCCCAGGCTTCAGTTTCCTTTCATGTCACCAGGAGGATATCCTTTTCCTGTTAAGCTTCAGAAGGATTTTTTTCACCCAAAGCATTAATCTCTGGTGCCCTGTAAATAGGACAGGCTGCTGCAGCTTCGGTCCTGGAGCTGCTTTAACAGATGGAGCAGCGCTGCTGCATCCCAGCCATAGGCAAGATCTGCTGCGCTGTGGTTCCTGGCGAAGTGCAAATGAAATTATCACTGGACTTTTCCCTAGCAAGTGCTCCCGAGTGCTCCATGCAGAAGCCAGAAGAGGAGCAGCAAGGCACTCTTCTGCTCCACCAGCTCCTTGTAATGGATTGAGGATTACCAGGAACGTGTATCTTCAGGAAATACTTCCTGAGGCTACACAGCATTTGATGAGGGTGGGATAATAAATGATCAAGTGTATATCTTTGCAGATACTCCAAATTATGAGTAGTGGTTCGTCCTTCCTATGTGTTGTTTCCATAGAAGCAGAGCTTAACCTTTTAAATGAAGATTGTAAAGGCACCTAATTCAATTAAAATTAGGCTTCAAGCATATCAGCACTTAATGCTTATGTGATTGGACATAGCCATTGTTCTGACTGACAGGCAGTTGTTTCCATCAGAAGCAGAAAAACAGCACTGTGGTGGCAACCTCTGGGGTTTTCCATGTTTTCGTGTACAGCCCATGACTTGCTAGCTCATTCCTTTGTGACAGGACAAGGGGAAATGGTTTCAAACTAAAAGAGGAGAGATTTAGACTGGATATAAGGAAGAAGTTTTTTACAGCAAGGGCGAGGAGGCAACAGGAGGTTGCCCAAAGAGTGGATGCCCCGTTCCCAGAGATGCTCAAGGTCTGCTGCACAGGCTCTGAGCACCTGATGGAGCTGTAGGTTCATTGCAGGACAGTTGGATCAGATGGCCTTTAAGGGTCCTTTCCAACTCAAATGATTCTGTGATCCTACGTTTCGATGAAACAGGGAATCCAGCACAGAACACAGAAAGGCACATTCAATTAAAGTCATTTATTGTAGGGTTGTTTTTTTGTTTTTTTTTCTGGATTGACAGAAAGAGGGTTTCCCAGAGATCGATAACACAACACAATGTTATACACCAGCTCACAACTAGTCCCTTGTTGCTTTATTAAGAACATAGTAATTTAAAAATATCTAAATATTTACATATTAATAAAACTTATATACAGAAGATTGAGACATTTTTACCTAAATATGGAATGATTTTTTTTTTTCTTTCTAATAAACCCTATAAAAAGATTTCTGAAGAAAGTCTGCACAGTAGTCACAGTTAAGTAAACACAAACGCAATCTCCAAAATGTACAAAACGCAGATTCCATCGCCCAAGTGTTACGATACGGACACGACGGGGCGCCGCCGCCCCTGCCCAATGCACACAACTCCAAGCCATGATGAAGGAAAGACTCTGTTAAGGTTTGCAGTGCACATTCAATATATTCCACAGTTTTAGAGAAGACACGGCCATTCCTAAAAGTACATCATTGCGGGTGGGGAGGGCTGGGTGCCTGGCTTCTCGGGTGCTGGGTGAACGCATCACAGTGTTGTTTGTGGGCGTTCAGCAGCTTTGGAGAAACAGACTTAAGGGTTGTTACGAGAGAAATAAATCTTTAAATACTTAAAAAAACAAACAAACAACTCTGTAATAGCACTTCAGTTGAAACACTCAAAGGCCAAGTAGTTTCAAAGGAGGAAAGAAAAGATGCGCCTAAAATACACAAAGGAAAATGAAACACAATGGTGAAGGCTATAGCAATCTCTCCCTCAAATCGCAGGGAACGCACTGGAATTCTCTGCTGGTCGAAGACCTTCTCGACTTTTTCCCTACGATTTTAAAGTGAATTTAGTGCTGTTGAAAGGTGCAGAAGCAGCAGTTTGCATGGAGGGCTGTGTAAGATTTTAGCTTCGCCCCGACCTGAAAGGATGAACAGTTTCCACGTCTAAGAGGGCAGTGCAATTTCTTGATCAGTTCAGTGATCTTGACTACTGAGATAGCAACAGAGTGCCAGGCTGTGACTAGGATTTATCTGCTCTGAAATGGGTAAATAGTGTCCCCAAGGGCAGTAGTTGAAAAATCACAGTGCGCAGACTCCTTTTCTGGAATAGCAAAGTAGAACATCTTGAGATTGAGGCGGTAGGAAAAGATGGTGGACAAAGGAGGAGAGAATGGTCTCCTCCTGTAATCTGCACTACAAAACCACTCAAGAGCCATCACACTGGGACCACACAGGGGAACTCCAGCGTGCTTGATCTGCAACTTATCCCTGTTATCACCCAGAAATGGATGCCAATGAGACAGATCCTGCTCTTTTTAGTCCTAAATCCAATCCAACCGTGCCCTCTGAATTACAGGTATATATAACTGGCCATTTGTACCACAGGTCTTCAAACAGAGAAATAGCAGCCAGACAGGAAAGGTGGGTCTGCATACGCACAAGAACAAAGTGCTTCACCTCTTAAGTGCTCATCAAGCCCCTTGGGTTTGGGAAGGAGAGAAATGCCACCACGGTCCCAAGGGAGGGGAAGAGTCATCCAACTGTGTTTATTCACCTCTGCATAGCTTAAGATGAAACACTGCTGGCAAGCATACAGCCATGTGGAACGGTACAATGGCAAAGGGAAAACAAAAGCAAGAGAATGACTTCAGTTACAGAGGATACCACACCAATTAACTAATGCACGATATGGAGAGAAATCATCTTTAATTAAGATGAAAAACAGCGAAACAATCTGTTGGTTTTGTTATTTGAAGTGACTGGGAAAACGTGTGAGACAACACAAACGTGAAGGGAGAACGGTGTGGACATCCACGTGCTGCAGGATCCAACATCCCAACGTTGACCTCACATGGACATTACTTAAACGAGAGGAGGTTCGTATCTGCTAAAACCACTGGCGCAGGATGTAAAATTTAAACAGGAAAATCGAGGCTTGCATCTATCAGGCTATCTGTTGTGGTGTCAAACAGGTTACCTGAAGGAAGGAAGGGTTTGAAGCCATTAGCTTAAAAGTAAAAACACGTTTAAGAAATCAGTTCAGTCGTTCATTTAAAAGCAAAGCGAAAGATAGAAATGACATATATGAATTCTAATCTCAATTTCATACAATGCCTGCAGGGATGGGGCATCCACAACCTCCTTGGGCAACCTGTTCCAGTGTGTCACCACCCTCTGTGTGAAAAACTTCCTCCTGATATCTAACCCAAACCTCCCTGTCTCAGTTTAAGACCAGTTTGGACCCTTGTCCTATCACTCTCCACCCTCATAAACAGCATCTGTTTATTTCCCCCTCCTGTTTATGTGCTCCCTTCAAGTACTGGAAGGCCACAATGAGGTCTCCCTGGAGCCTTCTCTTCTCCAAGCTAAACAAGCCCAGTTCCCTCAGCCTTTCCCCATAGGAGAGGTGCTCCAGCCCTCTGATCATCTTAGTGCCCTCCTCTGGACCTGCTCCAAGAGCTTCACGTCCTTCCTGTGCTGGGGACCCCAGGCCTGGATGCAGTACTGCAGATGGGGCCTCACAAGAGCTGAGTAGAGGGGGACAATCACCCATCAGAATGAACAGACAGCGACTGCTTCATTCCTCCTAGAGTAGAACCAACCACCTAAAGAAAGCAAACTGAACGGATTTCCTTTAATACTGAGCAACGTTTCTCCACTGAAAATAAAGCACACCCCACTTGAGATGTGAAGTGCTGCATGAGGCCACGACGCAAACTGCACTGCAATGTTTCCCACTTTGAAGTTACGTTTCTGAAGGAGTGAAAAAAGCACCACATGAATTTTAAGCCCGGAGTGCATATTTTTGGATGTTCTTTGGGAAAAAAATGAGGAAAAAAAATTCCTGCACCACAGCAGTCTCAATGCATATGGCAGAATGAAAAAAAGCAGGTGTGCTCTATGATTATAACCCATCTTTTTGATACCACTTTAAGAATGTGTTTTTCTTTCTAAACAGAACAATGAAAGATGGACAGAAGAATTACAACTACAGTGCTGAGAACACAGGGCAAACAGGAGACAGACATCAATCATTGTAAGAGGCAAATACGACCCAATGAAAAAGGAAAGACTCACACAATCATGCATTGAAAGGATAAAGATTTATATTACAATAAAGGATTTATATTTAAGGTTTCAAAAAGGTGGGTTTTTTTTTTTTTTTTTTGAAGCTTGGTTTTCTTGATATTGTATTTCGAGAGAAAAGGAGACAACCTACATAGAATTGGATTGCTGCTATTTTCTTATCATTGGTTTCTTTACCAAGAGATTGTTATCATCTTTTCACAAAGCTGTATCACCTCTGGACCTGAGGATTGGGATGTCACTGTCTCTGATTCTTTTAGGGATATAAAAAATATTTCTCATCTTGAAATTAACCCCAATGTGGAGAATCCACCCAAAACCTTCGGCACAGCTGCAGCCCAGAACACGGGTGTAAGGAGGGCACGTGGTCTTGGGTGCATATCTATTCCAAATGTGATTTTCAAGATGAGAGTTGATGAAAAGGGTGCTACAGCCACCTTAAATTGGTTCCCACTTGCAGAACTCATGGTTATGCCTTTTTTTTTAAACATGAAATCCAGATGCTCAGTGTAAATCACAGACCAAAATAAGATGAGCTTTGTTTTTGCAATGCCAGCTGATACGGACCGATTCTAAAAGCTGCCATGTCTTCAGCCTGATAAAGAGATATCTCACAGCTTTCAGGTTCCCACATCACTCAGAAACTGATCAGTCTTCCAGTTCCACACAGCGATTAGCCTGGGAGCTGTCTGATCCATCTCAGCTCAGGTTTGGACACAGACTTCAGCTTAAGCAACAGCTGTGTCAGTACGTGCAAAAGCTGGAGCTGTGGGAAACCTGAGCTTTCTAAGGTTTGCTAGAGACAAATTCTTCTGGTATTTTCTTGAGATTCATCTATTATTCCACCAAAGTTCCTAGCAAGTTTCCCTGCCACAGTTCTTCCAATTCTCTTTAAACACCCTTCAATCATCAGCCTTCAAAGCAAAGGCACTCTTAGCATCTCCAGTGATTTTAAAAGGGGAGCATGATTCCTGTTCTGAAGTGCTAAAATATAATTGGGCACAAACACCTTCCCCAGTTTGGTGAGAATGTACCAGCTATGTTTTTTACAAGGATTTCAAGTTCCAAAGGACAGTTTTGCAAACAAAACACTCCTCCTCTCCCCAAAGCCCACAACTTTGCTACCTGTGGGCCCAGAGGGAACACATTCAAACCTGGCTATAGGCATCTGGATAAATTAACTGCACTCAGAGCATAGTTCTCCCTGTGCCAAAGAGTCACTTACATGAAATAGTTTCTTTCAGTAAGGGTGGTGAGGCACTGAAACAGGTTGCCCAGAGAGGTGTTGGATGTCCTGTCCCTGGAGAAACTCAAGGTCAGGCTGGACGGGGCTCTGAGCAACCTGATCTAGCTGTAGGTGTCCCTGTTCACTGCAGGGAAGTTGGGCTAGATGACCTTTAAAGGTTCCTTCCAACTCACACAATTCTACGATTCAAGACCACCTGATGTCCGTCACAAGCAGCTCCAACACCCCACCATTTCTCCCAGTCCATCCTTGTGCAAGACTCTCTTTATGCAATCTGATTCAGTCTGCTTTCACCCTACCACCACACCACGTTAACCACTGCTTGTTCCTAATTTTTCTCAAAATAGCTTCTGGAGATGTCAGCTATCAGGGCAGCCACTGCACAAACACACAAACTCTTCCCCAAAGAGTTTTCAAGCCAAACAGAGAAGACAGCTTGAATACCTCACGTTAACGGTCTCTTTTAATGCCCTGCCAGTAACATCCTCTATAAAACCAGCTGTACTAAGACAGGGAAAGACCTCTGTAAAAGTTGCATTTCACCTCTTATGTGACACTCCTAGATAGAAAGCATCTGTATTTTGGCTCTCCATTGTAATTATTGTCATTAGGCTGTCTGCATATCACTTTAAATCACTTGCTTCCAAGAACAGTATTGTATTACATCGATATGTACTATAAAGAGACACTTGCACACATATAATAATGGGTGTGAGTCAAATGCCTGGCGTGCAGCCTGTGAGCATCACCTCCCCCACCAAAGCAAATCGTAGCGTGGTTTATTTAGGCATGCTTCCACAGATAGTATGGAGACATACGCATACAGAGGGACCCTGCAGCTCAAGAACTGTGCGTGCACAGATGCTCACAGGTGTATGAGCAATCAGACTGATAGCAGAGTGGAAAGAGAGCCATCTTCTCTGCCCCAACCATCTCATCATGCCCATTCCATCGATAACATCAGATGCAAGTAGTAGCTACAGAAGCTGCCTCCAAAGAAAAGCACAGCAATCCGATAATTCTGCTCCTTAACACGATTACACCAGCAATGAAAAGATAACACCACGTAGCATTAGCAGGCTTTATTAGGGTGCTCTTTCAATGGAATTGCTTCCCTCCCTGATAAAAGAAACAAACAGGATGTCACTTGGAAGAGATCTTTCAAACTAGAGCTTCCTGTGTCTATTATCACAATAGTACCCTGAAATATTCAGTGGCTGGCCAAGAAAGCAGCACGGCGGCTCACAGCAAGCGTGTGCTCCCAGCCCCCACTGGGTCTCTGCCAGCACAAGACTATAGCTGCTTGTCCTCACCGCTGCTTCGCTGGTCCTATTCCTTAGTAACTGCACGTGCTCTGACAGCAGGATTTCAAGCGGCCGCGCTGGGCGGCTGGCAGCTGCTGCTCTGGCCCCAGCGTGCAGCAGTGGTGGATGAAAGCTCCTTCTCCAGCCCTTATGTAAGAGAGATTAGGAAGTGATCCTGCTGAGGCAGATGCTGCACTGCTGCTCTCCCAACCACCCTGAGCCTCCAGGTCCTACGTCCTGCGCCCAGCAGCCCAATGCCAGTCACGTTCTGATCGTCACACAAATGGCACAGCTGATCTCCAGCCACCCTTTGTTGCTACACCTTTGGAATCTGATTATAATGAACTGCAATCCTTGACCCTATTCATCTGCTAAAAGTCTCGCAGCATCTGTAGCATCCCTCCCTTTTCCCTTGGCTTTGTCAGCATTAAGCTGCAACCTGGTGAAATGACAGGGAAACGATCATCTCCTTAAGACACTGCCTCCAATCAGCTGTGGGAGCTCGTCTCCTACCATCAGGGCACTTATTAATGAACTGACTCTTAATGAGAGAGTGGTTCAGATTTCACCCTCAGTGCAAAAATATTTACTCCCAAGGCCACTGCTTTTAATAACTGTCAGGCTTTGAGATGGTGTGAATGCTCTTCAAGAAGTAAAACAACACTTACCCACCATAAAACTGTCTTCGCAATCCTTCTGTACACGTAAGATATTGCTAATACCATGCACAACTGAATGGAAGCTTCAACAGAAATCACTGTGTCTGTCCCTACCAATAACAGTGTTAGGAATTCAAAAAACTCCCAGAAATATTGGGGGTGAGCAGAAGTCCCTGTTTAGAATAAACACGGTAACTTACCAGACATAATAGCTTAGCTGCTATCACGAACCTTGAGGTTTTACAAATGTGAAATAGAGGGGGAAATTGTAAGATTCTGGTGCATTTGTTTTTTAATGCAGAGCATTGAAAAGTCAGATAGCTGGGTCCTCTGTACAATTACCCGACGGTATACGGCACGCCAGGATTATTGAAAAATGCTGCTGTGCAATAAGCAAATACACACATTGGAAGCTGATAAAAATTTTAATGCATTTTACCTGTTTGTAGTAAAGAAATGTCCGGCTTCTCATCATAGTCAGTTGGCTCTGCTGATTACAAATATAAACAAGAAATCTCATTACTTTTACTGAATACAGGCATGCGATTAAAAAGCTACATAGTGTAGAGTGATTTTGCATTTTCTATCTACTTTCCTCAGCTTCAATTTGCTATTGCTCAGTTAAAAACTCACTGCTCGGAGAAAAAGGTCATAAAATAAAAATGCAAACTTAGAAGAGGGAGTTTGGTATTAATAAACGGCTGTGCCAGAAACAGGCTGGAGTGACACTGGCTCATTTTAAGGTTTCAAGACACGAGGGGAATTGCAACCATTTCATAAAATCACAGAAGAGAAGTTTGTTTGTTAAGCTAGCCCCAGCAGCCCTTGGAAGAGGAACCCCCAAGGCTGATGCTTGATCCTCCTGCAGCTGCCATCATCAGATTCCTAAGGGAAAAGTGTGAATATTCTCATTTCTGCAGCCAAACTTCCTGTGACCGCAGGCAAGCTTGTTTTGGGAGGAACAGATGTGCCAGGGCAGAATGACTTGGAAGTGGGCACCCAGCATGCTTACACAAACATATAGCCATGCAGGTACACAATCAATTACAATGTAGATACACACACATGCTTTTAATTCATAGCTTATGCAAAATTTGACTTAATTTAGCCCACAGAAAAGAAGGCTGAAAGCTTAATTTGTAAAGCTTAATTTGTTCATCTCATATTTGTCACCAACCAAAGGTATAGAAAGATAGTTCAAATGGCTCAGCAGATGTGCAGCAACTTGTTAGACCTCCGTATTCTAGTGTGTGTGTTTGAACCTAGAGCACATTACAGGCACCCACCTGGAATTAGGAGTGAAATGTACACAAGTCCTATTCAAAATCCTACTACCTTTGTCTTTTGACAACTCAGCATATTTTAGGCCTTTAAAACACAATGAGATATTCGAGAGCACTTCAGCAAACTAGCTATAGTCATAGAGAAGAAGTCCTTGACATTGTACATGATCACTGCGGTGGATATACATCTTATCACATCCATTCACTGCACATTGTTCATTGACATCAAGTTTCAACCGAGGCTATAGATGCACTGAGCAACTTCATTTAGCTTCCACTTGAAACTAAGCTAACTGTCCTGGACTGTTTATTATAGCTACACAAAAGGATATCAAGTTGTTGCCGTTACGAGGATATCATAAGACAAACTCATCTAGCTGCTGAGCTACATTAGAGTTCCCTTCCTTCTGCTACCCCTTGCTACCCTTTCTCACTTGCTGGATGCCAGTTTAGTTTTTAGTTATATGCTCTTTACTCGGTTCCACAAAATAAGTTGCATTAAAGAATCACAGCACCATCTGCGTTGGAAAAGACCTTCAGCACCAACATGACCTCCCAGATCTCAATGCTAAACCACATCCCTCATTGCCACATCTATGTGTCTCTTAAATACACCCAGGGATGGGGACTTCATTATGTCTCTGGGCAGCTTAGTCCAATTCTTAGCCAAACTCTCAGTGAATAAATTCTTCTTAATATCCAGCAGCACCTTGAGACCATTTCCTCATGTCCTATCAATTGCCCCCTTAGAAAAGAGATCAACAGCCTCCTCACTACAACCTCCTTGCAGGCAGTTGTAGAGAGAGGAAACAAACAAGAAACCCCTAGTACTAAACAGCTTTCATCCCCTGGAAGGTTTAAGTGGAGAGCCTTGACAAGTACATGACATGGACCTACAAGTTACCCTGATTCTGCCTTGACTTCCTATGAGAAGGTGATACACTGAACAGAAAGAAATTAAGTGCCTGGATGTATTAAAATCATTGATTTTGGAAAGAACACGGAGCTGAATGAATGAGAAAAGAATCACAGAATCATTAAGGTTGGAAAAGATCACTAAGATCATTTAGTCCAACCATCAACCCATCATCACCAACATGCCCACTAAATCATGTCCTTCAGTGCCACATCTAAGAGATTACATGATTCTCTGTCTCTGCATTTGTTTGGATTGGACTAACAGTGATGGATGAGCAAGTGTGGTGCAGTGAGCAGCTGAGAAAAACAGACAGGATATATCCTACTGCAGTGGCATTCTGAGCCCAACTTCTTGCTGTGTTATGAAGAAGCACCTGCACCAAGCAGTTCTGCAGCACGGTTATTCAGCATACAAGAGATGAAAAACAGTAAATGGCCCCGTGGGACTCAAGCTATGAAAATGGAGGAAGCAAGAGGTGAGCATTGGGAATGGTCTGAAAATCTTCCATCTATCCATATCAGAGTCTGTGCCAAATATGCTGTGCACTCAAGTGGTAGAATTTGCTGGAAGTCTCAGCAGAAACTCTTGGAGATGTGGCTATCCCTCTGCCTCATTGCCCTTCTCACACCTGGCTGAACTTGAAGCTTAAATCCAGGAGAATGAAGTAACACAGTAACAAGTGGAGGCCAGGAAGTCCCTGCCTTTCAGAAGGTAAGGACTTGAGTCTCCAAATTTGCAGAACCAACAGTGATGATGACAAAAGTAATTACCTGGCCATTTTAATCTGGCACAATACCACAGTACTGATGGCACTGAAGAGGAGATAAAGCTCGTCACCAATTGTTCCAGGCTCGTTCCTCATGCCAGCACAAATATTCATGCAGTCACAGAGGTCAGAACTAGTTAAAAACTGACAGTACAGTTGAATGAATGCTTTTTCCAGCGCCAAAAAGGGAGTGGAAACAAGACAGAAACACTGAGAACCTACTTACTCTTCTCAGTAGCTGTCTGCATTTGTTTTATGAAACTGGATACGTAACCACAGCTTCAAGCGAAGTATGATCAGTAAAGCTCCTGCTCACAAACGCATGACAAACACCCTGACCTCCTAACATGGATGTAAACCAGCATCTTCTCACATTGGATTCCAAGCAGGAAAGGTTTGCCTTCAACAACCACACCCTGAGACTGCCAGCCAAAATTCAAGTGTCTTGAGTCAGCTTGCAAAACGAGGCAAACAGGAATAGACCCTGCTGAGGTAATTCTGAGACTCCTTTCTGTCCTCTGGCTGCATGGCTAGAGCTCAGTAGCTCTTGCAAAACAATCACAGTAGTCATTTCCTCAGAGGTCTTTTCTTCCCCAGAATTGTTTAGATGTACATGTTCATTAATTGTACACTTGCTGTTTTGCTCCTTGTACTGAAGTACATGCATGCCTAGGACTGGAAAGATTATCAGTGCAGTCATTTATTTTGATATTGCTATCTTTACTCAGATACTGGCCACAAAAGCACTGTACCACATCTTGGACTCGCATCTTACATCCTTCCTGGTGATGCGTGCATTGCTAAGCAAAAAATCAATGCCATCTCCCACAACACAGAGATGTTACATCAAAACCACAGACCAGGGAAATCAGAAGGATGAAGAGAAATAGATAGCAAACAAAACAAAACAAAAAATCCTCATACAAGGCAATGGAAGCAGCAATTTGAACAAGGACTGGGGAGAAAAGACACACTTCTTGAGTGTAAGCATTTTTTTTCTCCCTTTGTTCCTACTATTTTACATTGCAACAAGGTAACGTTGATTTTAAACAATTCAAGGATGAAATGTCATGGAATGCAATTTATTTAAATTAATTCTGCCTGAAAAGTTTCAGCATGTTTTCCAACAGTGCTATGTTTTCCTTTATTGGCTATGGCAATCAAAAGCTTCCAGGTTAAGCACAATGTAATCACTTTGCATGAACAGCTCTTACCCTCAGTTTCAGGAGCGTTAGTCATACAACGTCAGCTTTCCTGGCTATGCAATGGACAGACATTACAGCATAATGGCTTACACTCTTCAGAACATAAAAAGGGAGGAAGAACTGACTGTAAGAGATGTGCTGCCCCTGACCTACTGCTTATTAATGGATGAAGAGTTTAGTAATCAAAAGGCTTGGATGCTATGTCTGGCACGGAGCGACATGAACAGCAAGTCAGTTCCCTCTTATTTTGCCCTCAGATCTTTATGCTAATGGTCGTCTGTCTCTGCACTGACACTGGCAAGGCCACCAGTCCCCTACCCCAATTCTCTCTGTAGGTGGAAAGACCACACAATGGGAAACACAATGCGTAAATTACAAGGCAATTTGCACAGTCACTCACACCGCTTTCAAAGAGGAAATATTACACACGTGGCTCCCTTTGACTTCTTCCCTTCCAGGCCACTTTGCATCTGATCCCAGAAGCCAAGCAGGCTCAGGTTCTGTGCTGGGAGGAGACAGATCTGGCACTACGAAGCTGTGCCCCAGTAGGCTGTGCTGTTGGCATGATATGGGCCCAACAGTCAGGGCTGGAGAATATTATCATACTATTTAATTTTAATTATAACATCTGTTTGTAACATTAACCTCACAGTCTCTTCTCCCCTCTGTGACAGCCAACTTGTGCAATTTTGAACAGACTGAACAAGGCCAATAAAAATTTAATGGCAGTGACAGCTTTATTCTCAGATCTAACAAATAAAAAAAAAAAAAAAACAACCTACCCAAGTCTCAGATCTCAGGCAATAATCTAAAAGAACTGAGAAAAAGCCAAAGCAAAATAAATAAATTAAAAAATAGTATTTCCAGCTATGAATACTGACACTGATTTAGAACTTAAATGAATTTTTATTTGCCTTAAGATAACAACCTTTCAGAATTTACACTGGGGAACTGTTTTCTAGAAAGCACAATTTTAAGTGTTTTTTTTTTATTATTAGCTTTCCAAGTGGAGAGCTTTTCTGTACCTAATTCTAGGAGATGAGCAAAACAGGATAAATAAGGTTGAAGCTGGACAGCATCTATCATCCAGTGATCATGATTTCATTTAATTTGGGAATACTCAAGAGAATATACCCCAGAGAAAGAGGTACAAAAAGCAGATCCAACACACTCGTCACTAGAATTCTTTGAAATTATTAATATCACTGAAAGCTAGAGCAGGATTCATGTTATCAGACTGAAATAATGTTTCACAGGATAAAGCAGAGAGGGCTATTCATGAATGCAGTGTCTTACTATGTGGTTTGAAATGAAAAACTAATCAGAGGATGGACTAAATGGCTCAGGGGAAGGCAAACAGAATGGAAAACCTGCCTCTCATCTCTTCTGCTGCTCAAATTTAGCACAACTCAGTGGTGACTAAAAAGTTGTTTTGTGGATTCTGGGAAATAAATAGACAAAATTGAACTTTTCCAAGTAAAGCTTGTGCATCAGAACAAACCAGAAACAGATTTTGAGTTGGCTTAGAAGGTCTCAGATTAACGCTGGCTCAGAATTGTTCTTCAGGCACCTCAGCCCACATCAAGTTTAGATGGTAGGTTTCAGTAAGTGCAGGCAGAACAGAGAGGATGATTTGGGAGTAGGACACTTGCTTGGCCTCCGGTGTCAGCTTCTATCTCACTCTCTTGTAGGACTGAATTTCCTACTTCACCCCTCAGTATTTCCCAACTTTATGGGTCTGGCCCTCAGTGATTGCTCTCCATACGGATTTCCAGGGGACTACAAGTATTCAGCTCAATGGCTGTGACTCCACTAGTCTTCAGGTTCTCAAAAGCAACATTTTGCAACATGGAGCCAGAGAACATCATCTCCCCTCAGCAGATCAAACCTCTCTCCATCCCTGCCCTCCTCTTGCATCTTGGCTGCTGTAAGTTACATACAGCTTTCACAGTTTCAGAAAGCCTTCACAATTAACAGTTAAAATTTGCAGTTTGCAGACCAAATAGACAGGTTTACCCTTGTAGACCCACCTATGCACCTGCTAATTGCCATTGCTGGAAACAAAACACGGGACTGGACAGATCTGTTGTCCCATCAGATCTACATCTCTCATATCAGAAGCTCATGATTACAATGCACAAGTACTAAAAAAATTTGTTTCAACAAGATGAAGATGTTATTGCAACCCGTTTGCTCCTCTTTGCTGCTACCTACTGCTTTTCCGCCACAAAGGCCAGCAAAGCAAATGTGAACACTTCTCATTTGCTTCAGTGCAAGGTCAGGTTGGGTTAATCTGAGCCATCACTGGAACAGTGTGGATGAGCTTGCACTGGAAGCAGAATGCAGAGTGCTGGCATGATCAGCTCTGGCAGCTCCATCTCAAAAGGGGAACCTCTAAGCAGTGGACAGGAACAACAGCAGCACATTCAATCACTCCTGCTAGATAAAAAAGAACACGTCTGCCTGTGTCCAAATGGCAGAAAGAAAACAGGGAACAATCAATACACTAAACATCAGAAAAAAAATAGAGCTTTTCTAGCAATCCAGTTAGCACGCACTTCTTTTAGTAAACAAGGTATGCTTCTGCTAGGTACATTTCTGTTTACTTCTCATTCCCATAATGGCTGTGTTAGCTTCCCTCTGCAGGGATTGGAACTTATCTAATTCAGTTTCACTAAACTCAGCTTCATTTATTTTTCTTTCCAGTCTTGCTAACTTGGAGACAATATCCTCTACTTAGATGCTTCCATCCCAGGAAAGGACCAGAGACGAAAGTGCCATTTAAAAGGTAAAAGCAGAACACCACTGTCATTTTAATTAATACCCTGCAGAGGCATCAAAAAGTCCTTAAAAAAAGGATGAAAAGAAAATAAAAATCTAAACAAAATTAGGTCAATCCTCTTTCCTGAGGGTCTTCTGCAGACAACCCAAAGGCCCTCTATTTCCCACATCCCACACTGTGCTCTTCACCTACAGAGCCTAATACTGGGCTCCTGTCCTGCCCAGCCAGCCTTTGAAAGGGGCAGAAAGCAGTCATGTTGTACAGTATCAGTAATCTGACACTATCGTTAACAAGATTATCTTGTATCCCTCTCTCTTCCCTCCCCCAACATGCACAAGAAACCCTTATTAAAGCCAGTGATGGTTTGCTGTTCTACTCAGGGAAGCTTATGCTACTGAATAATCTGCATTTCCCTCCCAGTCCTGTGTCAATTCTGAAAATGCTGACTGACACATGGAGCAGGAGAGAAACATTCTTCTGTTTTCCTGTGGTCTGACTCACCATCCCTGTCTTAGCCACTTGGTTTTCCATTCCTTAAGCTCACAGATGCTAACAGGTGTCAGATGCTCCAAGGGAGAGATGGGCAGGAAATATGACCACAGGAGAGCCTTAAGAAACACTAGAAGGGTGAAGTGATCTACTGCCTGATTCAGTAGTTAGCAATCCTGCCCATGGCACAGGGATTGGAACTAGATGATCTCTGAGTTCCCCTTCAACCCAAGCCATTCTATGATTCTATGAAAAGTAAGCGAAGCCCCTTGCAGGATAGGTGGCATGAAGATGAGAATGAGGCTAGTTAAGCTTTACGAAGCAATTACACATCTCTTAGTCAGTGCTATTGCTTTCAGGTTCCTATGAATTCCACAAGGGATTTGGAGACTGCACACTGCTGTCTGTCAACTCAACTGAGAGCTCATGGGCCAAGTGCTGGAACTGCATCACTGCTGAGCTAACTGTGCTGGGCCAGTCCCACAATCAAGCACGTATGCTGTCCTACAGAGCTAAGTAACTGCTGCAAATCCCTACTGAAATTACTTGTTAGTCACCACAGGCAAGCTCACTCCTATGCTTTGGTAGGTCCTCATCAGCACAATCAGTGTGGGTCATTCTTTTTGTTTTTTGCTACAGTCACATCAATTCTTTCACGAGGAATGTGACCTTCCAGACACACACAGTTTGGAAGGAAAGGTAATTTAGGTTATGTCCTAACAGTACAGAAGTGGCTTGTCAGGCCAAGTAACACAGAACTTAAAACCTTCTACCTGCAACCTGGCTGGATGAGATAGTTTATAACTCAGATTTCATAGAACACTAGGAAGAATGCTCTTAACTTTTAGGTTGCCCTGAGAATCAGGCATTGAACTCGATGACCTTCATGGGTCCCTTCCACTGCAGGATATTCTGTGATTCTAAGAAGTTACAGTTGCTAATGGAAGGAGCTTGGAGACATTTGAGGAAGACTCTAAGCTAACTTGGCTGCAAAAACAGCTCAACTCGTTACCGTGTACTTGACACAGAAACCTGCTAAACCTGAGAGATCAAATTTTCATAGAGTGAACACATACAACAGTTACATTTAACAAGAAAGACAATTCTGTGGACAGAAAGGCTGTACGATTTTAATTTTACTCTCATATGTTTTTCCTAATATTTTTATACATACCTGAGCCTCTTTTTAATCGCCTTCTTGCCAGTTTAATTTGATCCTGAAGAATTTGGACCCAGTCCCTAGGACCAGGAAGTTTATCCACATGGTTGGCAGTGCAGTATCTTTCTGTGAAGACTGAAATAAAAAGATACCATCTTTTTTAAAAGTGCCACCACAATTGAAATAAAGGAGGCAAAGAAAATGTACCAAAAATGTACCAAAACATCAAGAGCACAAAACTGAATTGCCAAATCTGGTCAAACTCAGTGTTTCATGATTTTATCATTCAGAAGTCATTTGTCTATATAACTATCATAGCTATTACTTACAAAAGCCTATCCTAAAGAAACAGTTTATACCATCCATGTGACATCCATGAATTTCACACTAGAATATCACCAAAAAATAACACCGTACTTTGAACTGAGTCTCCAGATGTGGCAGGCACTTCTAACTGCTGCTTTCCATATGGTGTAAGAAGAGAACTGAACATCTGGTCACCTGCTGGGCTCTCGGACTCATTTCTAAGTCTACAAGCAAACTGATGGAAGACACAGTTCCCACTATGGCAGAAATCCCTGCAGTTGTTGCTCTCAGACCACCAAATTAGATGGAATAGCATTCTTATAAAGCCACTAAAAGACTTCCTTGTGAAAAATACTGTTCATCATACAACTGAGAGGTGTGTGAAAAGGGCAAAAATACAAAAAATATTATTACTGCTAGTATTGCTATTGTAGGCTTGGTCATGGTTCTCAGAACCAACTGTCTATTATGACCAACAGATAAAGAAAACTGGTTCCAGATGAAGGAATTTGTAATCCTTGGGAATAAATGTTGCACAAATGAGAAGAGGGAACATGTAGCAAAAGTTGACCATTTGGTATTTTTGTACACAGAGTTTTGACACAGTGCTGGCTGGTAATTCCAAAGGAGTCCAAAGCAACTGCACTCTCCAAATTCTTTTCACATTCACAATTTGACAAAAACACTGCATGAAAAGCATTAACAATACTTTTCTCTGTAGTCTGTTCAGCAAAGATGAACAATCACTCAAGGAGCTCAGAGAAGTCAGCACAGTCTCACATGGTGCCAGCATTCAACCTTAGAGGCTCTTTGAAGGCAGAAATCATCTTTCCCTTCTGAATCCATGTGGTCCTTAACACAATGGGAGCCTGACTGATGTCCTAAGTCTTGCACTTCAAACATGTGACTGCAGATTGAGTTGGTGACCACGGCCTGGGGGTCATCCTGTGACAACAGGCTGTAGCCAGGTTGTCTATTGCAAGTTCCTAAGGTGGAATTACGACCTTGCTTGCTGTGGTCTGCATGGGAAACTAAATCATGGCAGCCTTGGAGAGCCTGTACATTGCCTTGCTAGTTCTTCTCTTCAGTGAAATTCAAAATAGCTTAGGTTGCTCAGTGCGTGGTTATGAAAGCACGAGGACTGAAAAAAAAAAATAAGTGGGAATGTAGTAGGAAGAAGGCAGAAGTGGGAGCTCATCATTCCAGTTCATCTGAGCTGTACTGTGGTAACCACCCGTGCCATAAATCAGATCAAATCCCCAGCAGATCTGAAGATAGCTCATTGACTTCTGCAGGAATGGACCTTCATGCAGGGCTGGATTTTTTGTCAAGAACATAATGAAAAAACAACTACCTCTGATCTTTGTTCTCTCTCTCCCCATTCCTCTGAGTTGTAGGTGAAAATTGACGCAGCTCACAAGAGAAACTGGTTGTTCAGGAGAAATGCTGCAAGTGATTCAACAAGTGCCACTGAATATCCAAAGTCAGACAGAAGAATTTCTCGCTGGCTAATCATTCTGTTGCAGCAGTATTAAACTATCATAAAGATGGTAGTTAAAATGCTTCCAGACAAGGAGAATTTTCAAGCCAGCAGTCTCTCCTTCGAGTTCTCTGCTCATGTCTGTCATGAATACAGCCTTGTCTCCACTTTTGTATCTCTGACATGGGGAAGGACTGAAGTGCCACTAAAGGATGTCTTGAACACGTGGCAGAGGAACGTCCTAACGAAATAATGCAAACAACATGTTGTTGTCCTCATGGAGATTTCATACTGACTCAGTCATTTCTTGGAACAAATGAAACCACAGTGTCCGACAGCCCAAGGAAAAAGGGTGCTGCTGGAGCCAGGCTGAGTAAAGATCCACAGTACATCAGCCCTTAGCATTGTATTCCATCACAGCTTCTAGGAACAGGCTCCCCTAACACAGATCATGAACTAGAGTTTGGGCAATACTTTAAGTAGCAGTGAAGATTATTATTACAGTGGTGTCCAGCAGTACCACCACAATTTTTATCTGTGAAACTACAACTCCTTCCTTTCTTCCCCACTGTCACCACGGGAAGAGGCTGAAGCAGACTTCAGAATTTGCTCTGGTAATACAAACTTAGCTACTGAGAAACACTGCTCTCCATAGTGGGTGATGACTGCTCTTTTAATAGTGCTACTGCATCCACTGAAAAGCAATTTTTTACTACAGTGCTGGTCCAAGTAGAGGATTTTTTTAAATAATTTTGATTCATTTCTCTTCCATTTAAAGCTTTTTGGGAAGACCAAGATACAGATGAAGGGAACTCAACTTCAGATCTTCACAGAGGATTGAGCTCAAGGAAAAAAAAAGGTAGCGTATTAAGACTATGACACAGACACCTTACTAAAGAATCACACGGGTTAAAAGGGACCTCTGGAGGTCCAACCTCCTACTCAAAGCACAGTCAACTAGATCATGATGCTCTGGACCATGTCCAGTGAAATTCTGAATACCTTTGGGAACAGAGATCCTGCAGCCCCTCTGAGCTCCTGGTCCACTGTCTGATCACCCTCATGTTAAAAAAGCTTCCTGTATCAGGTTGAAATTCTCCATGCATCCAACACTTCTTGTGCCTCTTCAATCTGGCTCCACCTTCTCCATGCCACTCCACTATGCAGTAATGGACAGCAATATGGTTTCTCCTGAGCACTCTCTTCTCCAGGCTGACTGACCCCAGTTCTCTCATCCTTTTCTCGCAAGCCAATTCACACACTTATGTCATCACTTACCTACTTCGGTCCTGCAACAATCTTGGTGGCCATCCACTGGATTCACTCCTTACATGTCAGTGGTTTTCTTGCATGAGGGTGGGGGTAAAACTACGCACACCAGTGCCTGCAAAAGGTTTCCCTTCCTCTTTTAGCTGCCAATGTGCTTACAGGAATTCTTCTCATTGCTTTATGTCACCTAGGTTACCTTGTCCTGTACCTCAGGACAAGTCAGGGGCCCTACAATAATCATAGAACCATAGAATGGTTTGGGTTGGACCCTTAAGATCATCTATTTCTAAACCACAAGGACCACCTCCCACAGGACCATGCTGTTCAAAAGCCCATCCACCCTGGCCTTGAATGCTTCCAGGGATGGGGCATCCATAACCTATCTGGGCAGCCTGTTCCAACGTCTCACCACCCTCACAGTAAAGAATTTCTTTCTAATATCTAGTCTAACTCTACCCTCTTTCAGTTTAGAGCTATTTTCCCTCATTCTGTCTCTACATGCCCTTATAAAAAGTCCCTTCTCAGCTTTTCTGTAGTCACCCTTCAGACACTGGAAGAAGGCAGCTATAAGGTCTTCCCAAAGCCTTCTCTTCTCCAGGCTGAAGGGCCCCAACTCTCTCAGCCTCATAGGGGTGCTGCTCCAGCTCTCTGATCATCTTCATGGCCCTCCTCTGGACCCATTCCAACAGCCTGATATCTTGTGTTGGGAGCTCTAGAACTGGAAGCAATACTCCAGATGTGATCTCACGAGAGCAGAATAGAGGGGCAGAATCACCTCCCTTGACCTCCTGGTCACACTTCTCTTGAAGCAACCCAGAATACAGCTGGCCTTCTGGGCTGCAAGCAGACACTGCTGGCTCCTGTTGAGTCTTTTATCAGTGGACACCCCCAGATCCTTCTGCGGGCTTCTCTCAAGCCATTCTCCACCCAGCCTGTATTTGATCTTTGTCAGCCTGTATTTGTGCTTGGTCAGCTCTGCTTTGCAGTGCAGCCTGTCTTTTTATAACTTGCGTAGTTTTTCTGCTTTATGCGATTTCAAAACTGCAGAATCCAATTCAGAATCTCCCATGTAATGCTAGCTAGCTCTTTATATGTTGTGATCACAGTGTTTGATGGTAGATGTGTTATTCTGGAACCTGGAAAGCAGTGATCACTAGCAAAAAAGACGCAACATACGAAACACTCAACTAAGAAACTTGTTTCCACAAAAGGTAAACCTTCACAGTTTTTATGAGCAACAAGCTCATCTCCTGGTCCCAACATAATCTTCCACCACTTCTCCCCCATTCAGCCACCAACTACTGAACTATTTACAGAGCAGACACAGTCGGATATACAGCACGCCTCAGAATTTTGATTAAAGAGGAACAGTTGTGATCTCATTATGTTTTCAAGATTTCTTTATGCCTCTGATATCCAGAAAAAAAAAAAAAACAAAAACCAAAAACTTAAAAGAACATTGAGATTCTAACCTTGGAGCCTGACTTCAGAAACCGGAATCATTGGCTTAAACTTAACACAAGCTGTCCCTGTAGAATCTATTTTTAACAAGTGAACGAAAGAGAATAAAAATAAGACTGCATATTTTAATAGACCTAATGCACGTCAGAAATTCTAATCCCTTTACGTCCTCCTCAGCTGAGAATATGTTCTAGTTACACGTATGAAAGAAAGTAAAAGCATACCTTTTATTGCACCCACAATATTTTGGTCTAGTCCTTTCCGGTTGTCATTGAGCCCTCTTTTCCTTTTGCCATTTGGTAAAGAGTTAGCCAAAGTCTGGTCATCAAAAAATGCACAAACCAGCTTCCTAAATAGCAGACTTCCTGAGCGAGTATAGTTTGATAATATAGAGTCCAGCTGAGATTTCGGCATGAAGACATCAAAGCCTTCTGCAAGTTGCACTTCTGGCTACCAAAAGAACACAAATGTTTTAATTAAAATGGCATTCAAACACATTATTTTACTTCAGTCATGCATCTGGTGAGATTTCTCAATCACTTAAATAATCAAGCCACAAATCTTTTTCCAACTATTCAATACCACAGCAGCCTACTTCATTGAAATCAAACTCCATCAGTGAATAAGAACTTCAAAAGGCAAATCAAATAATCACACTTACGTCTAGCCACTGTAATAGTTAACAATCACTGACATTATTTCAAGGCATACAGCTAACAAAAAAGAAAAGAGATACCTTTCAATATTGATAATAATTACAAAGCAGATGATCATCCTAGAGCGACATTCCTACACAAAGCTTTTGAGCCATTTAGCTAATCATTTTTATGGACCTGTTTCCTTGGCAAACGATGCTGATTAGCATGCTGTGGGACAGCCAGGTACTTCCAGGAAGGACAACTGCAGGGCCAACAGCCCCATTCCATGCAACTTCCCAAGAGGGCTCTCAGTGCAAATGCCATCTATATGAAATGAAGTAGAGGATGACTTGGAGGTTGTCTCTTCGCCAGGGCTTGCTGATCAGCTACTTTTCCCTTGGTTTCATATCCCCTAAATGCATCCTGAGAACAGGATGATGTTATGCACGTGGCTTATTTCAGCACAGAAAATCTCAGTGGCAAATCACTTCCAGAAAGGGAGATGGAGGAGCAGAAGAGGGAAAAAATGATCTTGTATTTCATCAGACTTGTCTCAAGTACACTATGGGCCAAAGCAGACAAAGGCCTTCAAAGAAGTCCACTTTCTGAGTTTTTTTGTTGCCCCTGTCTGTACAAATCAGAAATTACATGAACAATATTTACAGCATTGTCTTCTTCCTATGTCCATCACCACAAAATGCTTACACAAGGCATCTGCATGGAATAATTATTTATATAGCTTGAAGATGCATCAAGCAAAGACCGTATTTAAGATAATATCTGGAAGTTGGAAAGGGGTAAAAACAACAAATCTGTGGTTGTGATATGAGAAAATAAAGTTACAGCCTCATTCCTAACAACTTGCTCTTTTCTTTTTTTTTTTTCCCTGTATGAAAATACATTCACCAGTGATGGTGCATTTTTGAAAATGTTTACAGAGCAAGAGCAAATGCCAGCCTACATCAAATCACCTGCAAATTTATTGAGTCTAGCTGGAGTAAAGGGCTGCCAACTGTAGAAGGATTTGGCTGCATAACTCTTTTTCCATGGATTTTTAAAATCAATACCAAGAGAGTTACAGCAAGAAGTATCTTCAAAGCACACACTATCACTGACCATGCATGCTTACTGGGTGACAGGTACACAGAAAGTGAAGACCACGATGCTTCTGGAAGCCAGAATGAAGATTCGTAAAATATGCAGATAGTAATAAAAAAGCAATAAACCAAAAAACACATTTTCTTCAGTTTCTCCTGGATAAAAAGTTGTGTTTTTTTTTTTTTTTTTACCGTGAGAACTGTAAAAATGCTGGATCCAGCAAAACAGAGTTACTCTATTTGACATTTGACAAACTTCTGATGTAGGTGGGCTTTTAATATTTTACTTCTAAGTTTCTGGTGACAGCAAGATTTTCAAATGTAAATAAATATGAGCTGGGTTTACTACTTGGGAAAAATTCCACTTCATGTTACTCAAAAACCAGAATGTAGCTGCCATGGTGTCAAAAGCATCCTACCCTATTTTGCTTCTTTGGTCTTAAGATAGTAATCTAAGATGACCTCAATGATACCAGCAGGCTAGACAAGTCATTCTCACTAACACAGCTGTAAAATGCAGTTGAAACCTCACCTGTGCATCAGCACGGAGAAGTCAATATTATTTTAGTTTTGAATTCCTCATATTAAATATTTTAATCAATTTCTATATTGGCTGAAGGAAAAATACTGATTTATACTTGCTCTCCTTTAGCTGAAAATTATTCTTCCATCAAAGACAATCAGTACCTAATTAAACTTTATGATCAATTTAAATGTGATTTCTCAAAAGGAAAAGCATTTATTAACAGGTAATGATCCTGGCATAAGGAACCAGTGAGTAAACTACTCCTTTACAATAAAATAAATAAGACCTGAATGCCAAAGGCTTGTGCAGTGCTAAAATTAACAGGAAGTGAATTAATCCTAAACATTTCAATAGGCTCCCTGCTTAGATTAGAAATGATTAGATTATAAATGAAACATTACAACAGTAAAACAAACACATGAAGGTTTAACCAAAAGTAACAGATCATTGCAATAAAAAAGTGGGTTATCTGACCCAAGGTCCAGATTAAGAGTTGGTCTCACTGAGCTGAACAAAGGCTTCTTCCACGTTCATAAGCAGCACTATTTCATCTTAGCAGATCTGAACTAATTGCGTTGGTTTTGGTTATGTAGCTCTAATTTTCTGTAAAAGAAACTGAGATCTTCAGCAGAGATGTCAACGGCGAGTTGAATCTGTCAGCAGTGTGCCCTGGAGCCAAAAAGGCCGACTGTACCCCGGGGTGCACCAGGCCCAGCACTGCCACTGGGTAAGGGAAGGGATTGTCCCACCCTGCTCTGTGCTGCGTGGCCTCACCTCCAGCAGCGGGTGCTGTTTGGGTGCCACAGCACAAAAAGGACAGCAAACTGTTAGAGGGCTACAAAGATGGCAAAGGGTCCGGAGGATAAGACGTATCAGAAGTGGTTGAGGTCTCTTGGTTTGTTCAGCCCAAAGAAGAGGAGACAGAAGGGAGGTCTCATGGGGCAGCTCTGAGCTCTGCTTTCAGCGACAGGGACCGAGGGAACGGCGTGGAGCTGCGCCAGGGGAGGGGCAGGGGGTGCTAGGGAAAGGTCTGCACCAGAGGGCGGTGGGCATGGAACAGCCGGCCCAGGGCAGTGGGCACGGCACCGAGCTGCCGAGTTCAAGGGGTGTTTGGCCAATGCTCTCAGATACTGGGTTTGGATTTGGGGTGGTCTGTGTGGAGCTAGGAGCTGGAACTCCATGATACTTCAAACTCATGATCCCTTCCAACTCAGATGGTTCTACGACCTTAAAGTTCAATGAACATGGGGAAAGCTACAGTGGCAGCAGTACTGTGTATGACCCCACAACTCACTCAGTATTGTAAAGAGAACAATAAATTACAGTGCTATGCAAAACATCTTCCAGGTTCCTCAGGCACTCAGACATGCTGGTAGTGAGCACGCTAGAGATCCTTATGACTAAACAGAAAAAGATAATACTACCATTCATTCAGAAAGAAATGACTTTATTTAGCTTTCTCAAAATGTTTAAGGTCACATTTTATTTCCACTGTTAAATATATCTCCTTTCAGAACTCAACAGTTTTATTTCCAAAGGCAAAACAAAAATCAATTTGTTTGTCTTAGAGCTCTGTAACTATATTCAAACAACTGCTGTGGTAAACACTGTCCAAAGCATGAGAGAGCAGATGAAGATCTGATTTATGAACCACACGTTTGCTGTTCTTTCTTAAGCTCAAACTGGCATCTGCAAAGGACTGTGCCCAGCAATGAAACACATTCATAAAGTCAAATTAAATTCCATTGCAAGCACAAAACAAAAGCACTGTTTTCAAAACTATGTTTCAAGCTGAAAAGTGTGCCACAAGCAAAGACAAACTGTAAGCAGGAAAAACACACTGGCGATAAATTACTGGCCTCACCCTAAAACATTCCCTCAAACATTAGGAAATATCATAGTACAAAAGGACCTCTGAGAAACCTCAGAGAAAGCATGGAACTAGTTACCTCATATCACTACAGACCCTATGGCATGAGACTGCAACCTAATTAGTGGTGTGGCTTGCATCTATATAACTGAATTACCACCACTGCTCTCTTATGTTAGTAGTTCCCACTTTCAGAAAGGTAGAACGTTATCTGCAGTATTGTTTTCATTTCTGCTTATTGATGCTGAATTTAATTATGCTTTTCTATCTCACAATATTTACAAAATTGGAAATTACCTTCTCAAAATTAAAAATGTATTAGAGAAATTAATGATCAGTTTACTCATCAGTGAACTACTCAGACAACATCTGTTTGGTCATTAAACAAAGCAAATCAGCCTCCAAATACGTGAAGTTTCTATTGATGCATACATGTTATGTGAATCAAGAAAGCAGGCTTTGTGCCATTTTACATGTGACAAGAACATGTTTTAAGAGCAAGCAATTTTGGCTTCTTTAGTTACAGTCAAATTATCAGTAGTGCCAAGGCACTTATCTAGCAACTACAATGTTGAAAACTAAAGGACCCAGTTCAGCAGACTCAGGTATGAGCTTTATGGATGTGAGAAGACTTCTGAAGCCAGCAGAACCAGCCAGTCATAAAATAAAGTGCATGACTACATCCTGGTAGGATAAGGGCATATAAGAGAACAACCTGAAATAGTCAATAAATGACAGAGTTTTGGAACTGTTTATAAATGTAGCACTTTCCTGATCTCATGGTGGCTCCTGGGACCAGGAAAGATGAAGAACAAATTTCCACTGCAAGCTCAGACAACAGAAAGCCTTAAATTCAAGACTGAACTTCATGTTTGTGAAACTTGGAAAACAAAAACAGAAATCTATCCAAACTGCAGCATTTGTCTCCATTCAAAACTACCCAAGGTTTTCTTGTTTATTCAGCACAGAGGGAATACATTTCAAGCTGATATGTACATGTTTTCCCAGACCAGCGCTTTAGAAACCTGCGATTCAATGTATTGAAATATAACTTACATCTGATGAAGCTGATTCAAGGATAATTCCAAATCCTGAAAGAGGGGTTTCTACGTTGAGAGGGGGTTCAACTGCTTGCAGATTGGAACTTTCAGGGTTTGCTGACAGCTTCTTATCATTCTCTGCAGCACTGGTTTTCTTATTCATAGTAAATGGCTCAACAGTTTTGAGGGGTAGTTTTTTCTTTTTATTTCTCTTTCTTGATATTGTTGACTTTTGTGCACAAATCAGAGGAACAGGAGGTTGTTGTCTGTTTTGAGTCCCAACTGAATGAGAGAAAAGTAATGAATTAAATTTATAGACAAAGAAACTTGTATAACCACACAGACACACCATTAAACTACAGGCACGCTGAACTCATCTTCTGGATAAATGGTTCAGTTTTCAGTGCTGTTTGTGCATGTGGAACAGTTTTTATCTCCTTCGCATAATTTTCCAGTATGTACAATGGAGATAATGACACCGAGCTCCAGGATGAGGTATTTGAAGACATACTGATGAATAGTATTGTAAGAAAATTAGAAATATATGGCTCTTCTTCCTACTGACCACCGGGCGGCCAGTGGCATGAAGGACGTAAGTAATGATTAATTTGTATACTCTCTTGAATGACTGAAAATCTCACTGTCTTTGAGCATCTTTTATAAAACAGCACAAGTGCTAATGCAATTACAGTTATTTTTCTGAGCGTAGTCACCAAGTTAATTAGCTCAGCAAGAACATTTCAAATATTATTATGTCAAGAATGAGTGAAAACACTATTCAGTACTTTAATTTTTAGGAAAGAAGTCACACAGATATATCAGGTTGTTTTTCTTGCTCATACACAGAAACTGACAGTTCATGTCTTACTTTTGAAACCTAAGATATCATATTTTATATTTATCAATGTTTCGCGTTTTTCAGTACCCACTATTCAAAGTCATTTGTACAAATGGCACCAGTCCTGAACCCACACCAACGTGACAGAACACTGCAGACACAATGACTTGTCTCCATGGATCAGTTAATAAGATCAAGAGCAAAACGAAAAAGAAATCTGAAGTGCCATACATCTTTGTTTTACCACACGCAAATCAAATTCGTTCCGAACTACAAGTGAAATACAAACGGTCCTCATCTGCAAAGACTAAGGAAAAAAGGAACCTTATTACACTGCTTATTACACAACTCCCAGGGCACTTCATTCCCGATCAGAATTTACAGTGCTCTGATTTTTGGTTTAGCATTTGGACAGAAGGCCATCTGAATACCAAAAGAAGTTACCACACCTTCACATACGTGTTTACATTGTTGGGTTTTTTTTCCTATTAGCAACAAAAAAGACCAAACATTTTCTTTTCTCTACAAAAGCATTTTCCACACATATCAGGAAATATGAAGCATTAAGAGATTCCCAAACTTTTTATATGGTAGATACACAATACATTAGAACTGTTCTTGCTATTGAGGAACCAGCTCTTCAGGCGTAAACTCCAGTCTGTACCTCTCACTCACAAGTCATTTTTAATCAGGCACATAATGCAACCAGTTTAACTGTGCAAAGAATCCCCTGTCCCAGCCAGGACTTTAAAACTGGGCCTTCGTGTCCTTTGTTGTAAATGGGTGACTTTTTGAAAAGCATTTCCAGTCCAATACAGATTACAAAATCTGTCTGATCCTTCTCTTGGCTCACTGATAAGCCCTTCACTCCACCCATACTTGTGTAATTACTCCACACTCCCTATTCTTAAGAGCTGGTACTGTACAGCTACCATAAGAGAAAAATCTCCATAGCTCCACTCCCTATCATTCACAACAGATGGGGAACTCAACTGACAAAACCCCCAATCTAACTCTTCATTAATATCTACACTAATTTTTATGAAGTATGGAGGCTGCAGCTTCACTGCAGCCTACAATGAACCACTTAATTCCCAGCTGCCCATTATCTTAGAATCATAGAACCTCCCATGTTGGAAAAGATCATCTAGTCCAACTGTCCACCCACCACCAATATCTCCCCACAAAACCAAGTCCCTTAGCACAACATCTAAACATTTCTTGAACATCTGGTTCTAATGCTTTTCTGGCACTGCACAGCTCTTAACCCAGCAGAAACCCAGCCCTCAGAGTGTTCCCCAACAAACAGATTCCTGCTAGCCCCATTGGAAGCTGAACATAGCTCAACAGAGGAGCTGATAAGCCAGCCTGAAGAACAGGAGAGCCCACAATGTACAGCAGCTAGCTCAGCTTAGGCTATCGTGAAGCTGGAACTTGAAAGATCTTTAAATGAAATGTTATACAATAACCTCAAGTTGCCTTCCAAATTTGTTTTAGTTTTGTTTTCCCTAATGTTAGTGAACTAGGTAGTGGCAGGTAAAGAAGCATCTCCCAGTTCTGAACAAATACACACAAACTGGGGGCAGTTATGGCATCTAAGCATACCAGGCCTACCATTCAGCCTCCATTACTACAGCATCTAGACACACATTAGTCTTCTCAAATTTAGCCACGAAAGATTCTTAAAAGTTAATGTCTCCTGTTATGGGTAAGGATCTGGCCCTGAGAAATAAAAATCACATTTCCACAGAGCCTGTGCAAATTTCACTTTGAACAATGTGTCATTAAAGCAGAAAACAACTCAGGTTCTGCTTCTTTCTACCTACAGGCAGACTTCTTTCTACCAGACCATTTCTCCAACAAGGAGATGCCAGTCATGGACACGCATGGGACTGGTCACTGTACCTGACTGAATCTGGATCAGTTTCCTCATGGTCTTGAGCTCCTGAAGAATAGCCTGTAGAGTTGACTGGCAATTACATGTACAGCAGTTTGGTCCAATTGATGAATTCACCATTGGGATTTCTCCTGAAAGAGAGGAAAGAAATAGGGGAGAGATTATGTAATCCACAAATATAATAAAAATAAAAATGACCCACAAGCACTTGAAGCTGTTATCAATACACTTGATCATGAAATTAGATCCAAAGCAAAAAAGCAAATAATTTTCTATGTGGTCCTTTAAGAGGAAGAGGCTGCTAGGTTTTATCCAATTGCTAGTATGTGCAATTATATACAGTAGGGGATGGCTCAGAGCCTGAATACAATGCACTCTTCACAGCAGGGCTCTCTATTGTCAGGCTAGTTCATCCTGAATAACAATAGCACCAAACCTCATTATAAACATACTCACTTTATCACGCACAAAAAAGCCCATCTCTCAGAGCAGTCCTACAAAGAATGAAGACAGGCTGCGTAATAAAGGTTTATACTGCACATTCAATGGGGGCCTTAGAACTTCTAAACTGCCTGAATGTTGCATGTGATTCTTTACCACATGAATTGAGAATGAAAATAAAATCTTCTATTCAGAGAAAAATAAAAAGAAAAAAAATAAAAAAGCAGACTAGAAATGAACCATCAGCAAGGAAATCTTTCAGATTTGCTCCTCTGTCACCAAATGTGGAATTGTTTCTAATGGCATGTTTTCCAATACTGCAGCCTACAAGATGGGTTTTCTGAAGTTTCTCTGATGATTCACATTGTATTTGAACAGATTCTCCTTTTGTAGTAGCTCTTACCAGTGTTTAACTGAATTTACACAATTCTACCTCTTTGCAATGATATTGTTACTGCCTTGGCTTCCAGATGTTTGGCACAGTAGGTCCTCAATTAGGGCAGGCTGTAACAGCTCAAAGTTTTCAAGCTTTACCTGAACAGTTGTATCCTGCGCTTTAGTTTGAAATAACAGCATGGCTTTAATATTGCAATAAACAAACAAACAAATCCAAAATACAATAAAACTCCTAGCAATACCTGCTTGAAACTGAGGCCAGATGGACCGTACCTCCCTTTGTTTCAGAATGTGCTTAGCATCATTTAAATTGATGGCTATTTTACTGCTCGTCAAAGCATGCAAGAGGAGGGATGATCACTTTATGAAGATATACATGAATGGATGGAACAAAAATCATCTCACTTGGTGTCACATGTGGTGGACTTCAGAGGGTGTATTTCCCTTTTTTTTTTTCCTATATCCTGACAGTTATCAGGTGCCCTTTAATCATTTCTTAACTAAAGTGAACACAAGCAACTCATTTTATCTTTGCTCATAAATCCTTCCATTTTTTCATTATTACTTTTGCTTTCCTCTGAAGCCAAACCAGTTATTAATACCTTTTTAGGTTTGGTTTGCATTCTTTTCATCAGAGCTCCACTGATGTCAGACCTGTACACATTCTCTGACTTCAATTTTCATTTGCAATGGCTAATGGCAACCTAGCCCCAGCTGAACTGATCCAACCCTTTCTTAGGTCTTTCAGTGCGCCCTGTGCTTCTCAAAACTCCCTTTCCGAGGTTCTTGTTCTTTGTCCACTTCCATTCAGCCTGTTAGGCGTTATGCAAAATCCATCATACCTGAGAAGAGTGGTGATTTTTCTCCCAGAAATGGGTTACGTGTGAAACTACATCTGAAAGACTCCTGCTAAAACAAAACTGGATTATTGACTCAGCACAACCCTGCTTAGTTTGAACTCATCCTTCCTTTGTATCCTATACTTTCACACTGAAAGCTCCTTCGGGCATAGATTGGATTTTCCTCCTTTGAGTGGCTCATGAAGTGTTTTTAGCCCTCTGTAACATTTTTTTTTTTCTTTCTGTACTTGTTAAGCTTTGCAACAGGTAACTCAGAACCCTTGAATTTGGCTCCGACACCCTTCTGCCTATTTGTTGATGTAGACTTTTTAAAGCAGATGTGAAGGTCAAGACTACTTTCAAATTTAATAGCATCAGCGTAACTCTGTGCTTTCCATTAAGACAAGCAGGCATGGCAGAAATGGAGCATGTTTCCCAGAAACATAAGAGTCCCAGAAAATTAGGAAAGTTTATTAATTAGAGAAATGCACAGTAAGAAAATCCTACTCATCCCTTCCTCCAGGCTATACCTTTCTCGCTTCTCTGTTGTTTTAGATTAATATGTTCCTTAGGATAAGACTTACGGCTTCATCAGAATCAAGTATTCAAACTGGGACTCTGGAAATAGTATCTGGGAGACTACAGAGGGAGACAGGGCTCCTGGCTTTTGTTTTCCTCTTAACAAAAACTCTACATTGTGGTTGATTACTCACAAAAATTGGACAACGCCAATTCCACCACTAAATACCTGTACATCCTCCTTGTTGCAATGTAACACAATCCTAATGAAAGCACACAAGCACCGAGGCTCCCGATGGAAAACCAAAAGGTCTATTTTCCCACTGAGGCATGGGGGATTTACATTATAATCCCCATTAGCATTGATAGAAATTACCCATGTAAATCTACCATAGATACTGGAAACGGGAAAAGAGACCACCAGTATTTCAAATCAAAGCAGGGTTCTACTGACTTCATACATATTCATGAGGGTTTTTTATTTTATTTCTACCCTCCCTCTTCTGATCAGCTTCTGTTTTGTAAGAAACATCTTGTAGAGTGTTCTCAGTCATTGTTCCAAGCACTACCTTTATCATTTTTAGAGGACAAAAGCAACCCTTTTCAACTTGTTATAAATCAATTTTTAATTTCAAAAAGAGAACAGACTTTTTATTTTTATGAAGGAGTCTTTAAAGAGCCATCTCCTTCTCTTCTGGAAGCTAGCCAGCATGTGAATTTGATACTGGCTCATATGATTGAGAGAAGACAGAAATACATCACAGAACTACACTGCTTCCCCTGTGTGTGCAGCAAGTAGCCCAGGACAGTGGTTCTTACAGCTGGATCTGCTGAGAGTAAATTCATTTAGTGTAATATTGCTATGCAAGTTTATATTTGAAAAGCACACAAGTGAAATCCATTGCAAACAGTCTTGGCGTAACCAAAAAAAGAAATCCAGCTGCTACATCACTGCCAGATTACCTACAGGACAGAAGAAGTGAAACTATTTCAGACAGACTCGAGTCTGGTGGCTGTAATTGGATAGGCATGCTTATCACTCTTTATAGCCCTAAGATGCTTCTGCTAAAATCAGCGGGTCACAGACATCGACCTGACATCCTGACTTGCAGAACTGCTGCCTTAAGTCCAGTTTGGAACAAATCACTTTGCTTTGCTTTTTCTTCCTTCTGTTGCTCATTCCTCCTTCCCTCTTTTTTGTCTGTTCTTTGCCAATATCTTTTTCACAACTGCCTTCTACACCAGAATTTATTGAACATTAATTCCAGCCTTTTCCTGAACCATCTTCACCATGCAAGTAAATACTAGATCATCTGAGATGCCCATTACATTCAAATTTGAGTAATTCAGGCAGCCTACAGTGAATATAAACCCTAGCTTCCCATCCAGTATCTATCCAATGGACAGAACTGGTTTCTTTACTCATATCACCAGCTATAGGGGCCTGGATATCTCCCCAGTCATCACCTAAGCCTGACAAGCCTAGGTTGTAATCCTGTGCCCTGAACAGTGCTCTTCTGTCCCCAGAAAACTGTGCTAGATGAGGAGCACTCACAGAGATCACTTGCAGCCCATGTCATTTGCTTTCTTTTGACAGACTGGGCACCACAACCCAAGCAGAGAGACTGCCCAGCAAGATCCACAACACCCAGCTGGAGGCAGAACCTGTAATCTGCCCTCAAAGAACTGGGCAAGCCGCCTCTCAAAGGTGGCCAGGGGAGAGGGCCCACACCCAGCTTTATGTAATAGCCTAAAGATTACATTCCTTTCTGCAGCAGAAGAGCTGCAAAGGGAGGGGTGAAAGGTGTCTCCACCTGGGCTCCTTCAGTGCACTTCCCCAACAGATGGGAGATGTGGGCATCCATTCTGCAGGGACAGTGAGACCACTCAACCCCAACTGACTTTCTCAGAGATTACTGAGGGAAATCAACAGTCAGCCAAAATTCTCTTCTCCTCATACAGAAAATATAGAATACTAAAGAGCTGACATTTTCTTGCAGATGGGGCCAAATCCCATCAACATGGTTTAGTTCACATGCTGAATCAGGCCCCTGAGGGGGAAATAGGTGCTGCTCCACCTAATTTCTGGATCCAGGAACAGGCACCTAAGCTGTGCAGGCTCAGGCACTTCTATGCATGCTGAGAACTGTCCCTGCAGGTGCCCACAAACTCTCAGGCCAAAGAGGGAGCCAGGTCCTTCCACACTTAAAATCCCACTACAGTATGCATAGATTGGATTTTGCATTCAAGTCTAAAACAAGCATTAGGTCCTTCTTTGCCCCTACATCTGACTCTAAGTTACACTGTATCTTTAAATAGCAGCTGTCTTTTTTTTTCTTTCCCCTTTTTTTTTTTTTTTAAAGTAAGTGTTACAAAACAAACAAACCTAGCATGACTTACTGCAACCTTTCTCCACATCACCTGGTACAGCTGAGTGAATCACTGTCTATATGGAGAAACACTCAGTCCTGTGAAACTTAAGTCTGTGTATCTTTCAGTGCAGGGATGACACTTCCTATAGGGCAGTACTGAGAATAACAACAGAACTTTTTTTTGTATGATACAAGCAATGGGAGCATGTTTGCCTTTAGATAAGGACACATAACTGTACAGGAAGTCTGAATACCTTCAGAGTCAACTAGAAACTGCAATCTACAGAAAGTGCAATCTATATAATATACTTTTTTTGCCTACCAGATGACAGAACTGAGGTGCTCCTTTAATACGAAAACCCTTCTAAGTGCAAGGCTGAATATCTGGAGGAAAAACCTTAACTTGGATTGTTAAAGAAGACCTTCAAGATTCTGGTAGAAAAACCTTTGTTCTTTCTGGTACTGATGACAGTAAGAGAAATGAATTCAAAGGACACCTCCTCCCCCCCCCTTACTTTAATATAGAATTCTCTGCCAGAACAAGATGGACCACTGTCCTGTACATGCTATTCATAGGTACGCTCCATCCTCTCTCGTCTCCAGTGATGCTATCAGAATAAGACCCTGTAGCTACACTGGGATTTTGTACCTTAAATTCAGCAAAGAGTTGTAAGCCTGATTCCATCAGCTTATGACAGTGAACTAGAATCCTGCTCCACGAGAAGTGTCACAACAATGCTACATTACTCATTGCAAAGAGGAGTGGTAGAATTTGACATTTAATTAGGTATGAATATAATAACAATGGCCAAAGCTGTTTTAAGAAGTACTGTAAAGAAATTAAGCCTATATAACAGAATTGAGTAATTTTGTCCTATCACCAGGAATCCGTTTTAAAACCTAAGACAGATGGTAGCAAAAAGCACTATGCCCACTTTCACACCTTTTCAAAGTGATAACTATGTGCCCATTTTGTTGACTCTGAACTACAACTGATTTCAGTGCAGCGGTATCATAAATCATCGGAACAAAGGCAGAAACTTAGTGCAGCACAAGGGAAAAGAAAAAAAAAAAGCACTATTCTTAGTATCTAGTTTAGATCATACCATTGGATGCCATGGTTCGTGTCTGATTTTGGAACGTTTTGGATCGAGTTCCATATTGCCCTGAAAAATGATTATCTTGGGGTGATAATTCATTCCATGCGTCGCTCTCACAAGGATGAAGGCTCTCCTCAGACTCCTCAGGGGGATCCAGGCGCTGGGCCCAGGCTAAGTCTAAATCCTGGGGCTCCTCCTTCAGTTTTTCTCCTTCTTTGCCAACTCGCTGATAGATTCTTCCAGCGCTGTCATTCAGTAATCTTCTCATCCCTGTAATTTGTTTTTTAATTTCCCGGCTTTCATCTCCTAATGAAAACAGAGCCACAGTTATCACTGTAAATTAGCAAAAACGGTAATGGGTTGAGATTAGTGATTTTAGATGCCAGTACGTTTCTAGCTGCTGGAGTACAAAAGTAAATAAATAAAAAAAGAGAAAGACACGGTTGAACAGCAGTGGGTACGTCCTGGGCTACGCTTTAACACAGCAATGGTTGAGATCTTGCACGGTTAAAAGACCTGCTGAACTTGGCTTTCTTCATGCCATTTCTAAAGCTTTGATGAGCAAGATTATTTTTCTGCAGAAGGAAATAATAATAGCTAGAGCAGTTTCAAATACTCTATCCTTTTAAGAGACTGATCCTATTCAGGCATTGACATCACTGAATATTTTCTGAGTACAGCCTAAGGAATCAGACCTTTATGTATCAGTTTGCTATATGCTTAAGAATAGATCCTACAAAGAAAAAAACACAAAGTAATCGCAACACACATACACAGAGTGTAACACTGCATCTATTGATCTTAATAAACAGGATCAGTTCCTTACTTCACAGAATATTGCCAGATTATACAGGAATAAATTAAAAAGCAGCTAATAACGTATAACTGTACACAGCCTAACTGCTGGATGTCTTCAAAATGTAGATTATGGGCACAAAATGAAAACGCATACAAGAAAAATGTGTCTGTTTCAAATAAATCCAGGACATTTAAATAATAACAATTACATACTTTAATACGCCTGGCTCCATTTAAGTATTAGTTTTATGTAGGAAACTGCTGATCGCACAATGAATATACATGTTTTGAGTAGATAGTAGCTATTTTGCTCATAAAAGCATACATTACATTTCACTAGTAATAAGGAGGTGTTCATAACCACTGCTGAAATAGGAAGCTTCTCTTTTTTAATGGTAATAGAAAAATCAAACATCTTAAGCAAATGGAATAACAAAGATCAAGAAACTGATGGATCGACTCTTCCTACACAGTGTACTTGGTACAGTAATACTTGGTATCCCCAAACCAATCTGCATTCCCACTTCCCCAGATAAACTGATTTTTAGGAAAAATAGAAAATTTCAGGAGAAATAAAAACAAAACTCTCCAAAATCCAAACCACAGCATGCACCGGCTCCAGTACAACAACAAAACACATGAAAGCGTGCTAATGCCTGGCACGTCAACTATTTCATCAGTTCAACAGTGCCATTCGCTTGCCTAAACTTAGGCATATGCTCAGATAGCTGGCTAAGCCGGTTAGGGGTCAAAAAAGCAGCAGCACACTTTGGCCAAGCTCAGCATGCCCAGGGACACGTAGCACCCAGAGAGGGAGCTGCTGACAGGGCCTCTAAGCGAGCCGTACGGTCAGAGCTCGCCTGTGCTGAATCAGTGCAGCTCCCACTTGACCCGACACCCTGGTTCCGCTTGGCACAGAACCAGCTGGCTCTAACCCACCCCAACCACAGCAGGAAAAGTGGGTGGCTTTCAGGAAAGCTTCTGGTCTGAACTTCGAAAATAGCTGTCAGCCCCATGCAGAGATACTAGAATGCTGTCTTTGCTCCAGCTGAAGCACTGAGAAAAAGCCATCTGCAGGGAAGTTCCACAGGACGTGTATTTTGCTGTTTTGTCTGCAGATTTATGTGTGTGTATGATTCAATTAACAAATGACACTCGTTGGACTCAAGCCAGCCAGGGGTTCACTGTTTCACTTCCCAGCCTCAATGGGAAATGAGAGGCCACGGAGCACCATGGGATCACAGTTACAGTTCACTCCTGGCTCTAAGCTGAGGGCTGCCCTTCCCAGCCACTCCGAGTTCCAAATGCTCCCATAAAATCCCTTACCATCACTCCCTTCTTTAAAGCTCTCCCAGAGCTTTATGTTAGCAATCCCCACTGGCCTTCAATGGCAACATGTAGGTAGGATCAAAAAGAATTCCCACTCACTTTCTTCTATTGGGTTTAGTGACTGTATGCACCATTGCTGGTCAGGTGACTCATTGTCTGAAAGATTAAATTTCCCTTACCCAATTACATAAAATATTAATTGAGCCTATTCTGCCTTGATTCAGGTCACATGTTTCTTTTTATAGAGGTCTTCCTCTATAATGACATGAACACATGCCATTTGTCTCCAAACAGAAAAAAACCTGCATACATATCACAACAAACAAAGAACTTGCTGGAAGCTCAGGTTAAGTATATCTTTGCATTTAGATCTCTTGGATCCCTACTTTAAATGGGGAGACTTCCCATTTATGAACTGCATTTTCTCCTCCCAAAAATGTCTTCTCACTGGAAGGAAGGTCCTTGAAAACATAATATTGAATATTAGGCAAAGCCTGTAGCACTCAAGTTTACAACAACCCATTCACTCATGCCACCCAGTTATGACTTCTCCATCTTTTTGTGGTTTTTATTTTGTAACTGCCCAGCTACTGCAGCAGCCTTCCCAAAACCATCTGCCTCAGTGCACATGCTGTCATTGAAACAGATTTAACTTCTCACTCTCCCATTACCAATACAAGCTGGGAGATGAAAGAATTGAGCACAGCCCTGCTGAAAAGGACTTGGGGGTACTGGTGGATAGGAAGCTGGACATGAGCCAGCAATGTGCCCTCACAGCCCAGAAAGCCAACTGTATCCTGGGATGCATCACAAGAAGTGTGGCCAGCAGCGTGAGAGAGATGATCCTGCCCCTCTGCTCTGTGCTGGTGAAGCTTCACCTGGAGTACTGCGTTCAGATGGGGAGTCCTCAGTACAGGAGGGATGTGGACCTGTTGGAGTGCAACCAGAGGAGAGCCAAAAATGATCCACTGAATGGAACACCTCTCCTATGAGGACAGGCTGAGAGAGCTGGGGCTGTTCAGCCTGGAGAAGAGAAGGCTGTGAGGTGACCTAAGAGTGGCCTTTCAAGTATCTAAAGGGGACCGACATGAAAGAAGGGGACAGACTCTTTAGCAGGGTCTGTTGTGACAGAACAAGGGGAAATGGCTTCAAGCTCAAAGAGAGGAGATTCAGGTTGGATGTAAGTTAAAAGTCTTTTACAGTGAGGGTGGTGAGGCACTCAGGTTGCTCAGAGATGTGGTTGATGCCCTGTCCCTGGAGACTTCCAAGGCCAGGCTGGATCAGGCCCTGGGCAACCTGATCTAGCTGTGGTGTCCCTGTTCACTGCAGGACAGTTGGACTAAATGGCTCTCAGATGTCCCATCCACCTCTAAGGATTCTATGATTCTATCTCACCTGCCTGCTAGCTTGAGCCCAATGACAGCATTCTGCTACCAGCAATTCCACTGCTAATCATATTCACAGATAACAACAACATAAGTTTAAAAAATAATAAAAAAAAAAGGAACCTCAGGTGCCAAGAAAAAAACAAAGCTCAAACTGCTACATCCTAGGGAAGAGGTTTTAAACTAAAAGCAGAGAGATTTAGATTAGATATTAGAAGAAAATTCTTTACTCAGAGTGGAGGCACTGGTGCTGCTGCCCAGAGAAGTTGTGGATGCTCCATCCACGGAGATGTTCAAGGCCAGGTTGGATGGGCCCTGGACAGCCTGAGATGGTGAGGGGCAGCCAGCCCACAGCATGGGCTGGAGCTGGGTGGGGTTTAAGGTCCCTTCCAACCCAAGCTATTCTATGACTCTAAAAGCCAGCCCTCCTTTCCAAATGCTGATCAGGATACCAAAGCACTGAAAAAAAAAATAATTGTATCACCCATCTGCAAAAGCCTCCTGAGACTGCAGCAAGGACTGGGAGGAACAGTGTTTGGAGTATGCAGCCCAGCCCATAAGCCAAAATTCCATGTCTCTTCCTTCTTTGGGACTTTTCCATCATGCTGGTGTGTTTTCCAGCCTTCTTCTGGAAGCCACATGGGGGCACACTGAGGATTCCTCAGCACTCCTGGGGAGGTGGGAAGGCCTCCTACCAGGAGACTGAAGGCCAAGGTTTTGCTATTTAGATTGTCCATAATAATCCCTTTGGTTTTATTTCAAAGCAATGAGTTCATTTGCTAAGTATTGCTCAAAATAGATAAGTGTGGCAAATTACAGCCCTGTTTAGGAACTTACAGGTGAACATATTAGTAACAGAAATGAATTAGCAATTTCTGTAAGAAGTTACTATTATAGTCATTTCTCTGATGGCCCTCTAAATACAAACTTTTTTTCAGATGGCCTGATTCTGATTTTATAAAACAACAAAAGACAAAAATCTTTTCATAAATTCCAAATCAATTATTCATAAAAAGTAATCTTCCCCTAAATTAAATTCAATCACTTGCCTTACTGAAAGTACGCGCAATGCTAAAGCGTACTGCTTTGAAAGCTCCAGATTTCAAATGCACAAATCTGAAACAAGTGTCCTAGTAATGACTGACATCCGTTAACAGAACTGTTAACAACCTTAGTTAGTAAAGTATCATTGATAATTCATTAATTCAGTTCTTGCTCCTATATTTCTGAACATTTTCCACTATTACGCATATTAAACTTAATACACAAATATGGCTAAATGCCTACAAACAGATCACAGTTTTCCAAATAACTTGCCAAATACTATCAAAGTGCAACCTACAGTGACAAAATGGCATGCAAGCACACCCATATGTTAAAACATTAATTATATTCCAGCAAAAAAACAGTGGTAACCAAATATGTAATTAATGTACATCTTCTGAACTGGATGTATGAATGAGTGGAGCGAAGGTTGGCCGATAGGCTGTATAACATCTTTTTTCCCCTCTGACATACACAAACAACAAACACTCTTGGCTCGAGGATTTCAATATTTTGAAGTTCATTTCTTTCTTTCTTTTTTTTTTTTTTAGCACTTATGATAAATGTTTTGGGAAATATTCATGACTGGTCGACCTCATAAAAAGTCAGATTTTATCCTGTATTCTGGCAAACAACTCCTAAGGAAAACTTCCTTCCTTGGCTACATATCAGGCTGCCCACGGAAGGAATGTTGTAGCTCAGAGACCGCCACCCTCGTGTCAAACTGTGAACGAGTCCAGAAATCACTGA